GTTTTAAAAAAAAAAAAAAAAAAAAAAAAGTTGGAAATATGCACGTCATTTCAGAGTCAGTTCAGTTGTTTGGGTAATAACATGACCAGCACATTAAAACCATCCATAATTGAGAGAGATGATCATGTTTGCAAGTGACCTTTTGGTGTTTTACATCTCCATTTATCAATGTCCTGGATTTATTATGAACTGAACAGCAACTTAGTATTTCTGATATATCAGCAGGTGAGCCAGCCTTCCCAATGCCATATAGACTCAGAATTTGGGAAGCTCTAATCGCAAACCACCACGCTGGGAAAGATGGAAGAAAATGTAAACGTGCAGAAAAATTGGTTGCGTGGTTGTGGCTACCACCTTGACTTTGGGGGCACTTCTGACTACAGTAAACCCATACTTCCTTAGCCATACATTAAATCAATGTTTCTTGGCCTTAGCCACTTTAAGATGTGTGGACTTTACCTCCCAGAATTCCCCAGCCAGCTGGCTGGGGAATTCTGGGAGTTGAAGTCCACACATCTTAAAGTGGTTAAGGCTAAGAAACACTGCATTAAATCAGTTCAGCTCACTGGGTTTATGTCTGGGTAGCTGAACAGGGCTTCGATAAAACTCAACTGGATCTGAAATGAACCTAAGCCATGTTTGTACAACATGCTGCGTCCACCGTGGTCTGTGCTTACCTAAAAGGTTATGCCGAAATAGTCACATGATGGCTTGTTGTAATGGCAGAGTCTTCACAAGAGTTTATGGCCTAGTGATCATGTTGGCACAACCCATTTCATTTGGTTCCTGAATTAACCCATGTTCTGGTTTACGGAATGCATCGGGCCACCTTATCCGAAGCAGCAGGGCTTGTCAGCTTGCTGAGCCGCTAAACGCACACGTGCAAATATGCTAAGCGCAGGGATCTGCAAGGGAAGGGAGTGATGAGGTGTGCCATGGTGTCAGCGTGCAAATGATGTTTGTGCCATGTGTCATAACAGGTCAGGAAGCACATGCCATTCTGGCATGATTGTGGCTTGCTACAAACCCCTATGCGACCAAGGTTAAAAGTAACCTAGTGCAGCATGTTCCATGGCTACAGCCACTAGGTTCTGTAGTAACCTGGTTCATTAAGCTGTGAAACGTAAGCTGTGGGTGACAGATGAAGGTTGTTGGTTTGGTGTGTAGAACAAACCAGCTATCTTTGGTTTAGCTTGCTTCATTTCAGTCATAGGCCAGAACCCAGCTATCTTCAGGAAAGCAGAACATTTTGCGGTAACAAGCTGTGGAACAAAAATTATAAAGGTAAAAAAAATTAGGGTTTTTCCAGATAGGTTTATTGTAATGGGATATTGAAGATGCTATTTAATTTTTTTTTCCTGACTCTTTGTGAGCCTTTGTAGCTGAGGAGGGCAATTGAACTGACCGCAGTGTGCTTTAGCACAGCCAACGAAGTGACTGAGTTTCCCCTTCCCTGGAAGTAAAAAATATTTATTGGTTAGCTTTTCATAACCCTCTATCAGCAAAGAGAGAATTTTTCTGTTTATTTAGGACCCCCCTCCCATGGGTACAAATAGAGCAGAAAGCAAAATAAAAAGATAACACACACCCCAAAATAAAAACTAAATTGAATAAGGAAGACCTCAAGGATGGAGTTTTGCGCACGCAAGGCCTATTCCATCCCAGCGCCTGCAAGATCAGAAAAACTCCAGCCTGAACTCCTGCAGAGCTATGGCTTGTTCCGTGGTTTCAGCCGATTGTGTTGCGTGAACTCAATCATTGTGGTTAATGTGACGTGTGAATGCTATCAACTGTGGCTTATCCAAAAATCATGGTTAAGCCACTTACACATTACTCTGATCTGTGAATGGTATTCCAGCAAGTTCAGAAGATCAAGGGGGTTGAAGGATCTAGAAACCAAGCTCTTAAGAGGAACGGAGGAAAGAATTACTCGGGGTGTTTATTCGGCAAAGGAGAAGAGTTGAGGGGAGAGAAGATGGCAGCCTTCGGATATGCCAGGGTTGTCATGTAGGTATGGAGGTTCTCAGCTGGCCCAGAGGGAGGGCCAGACCAGCGAGTTAGAAACAAAGAAGTAGGCTTAGGGCGGAATTGGCAGGAAATGCTTGATTATCCCCGTTTAGGATGGACTCAGGAGGACATTCCTGGCTATCCCGCGGTCAGCCCCCGGAGCAGCCCGCACCTGAAGCGGGGCGGTCTCCTTCGCTGCGGATCTCGAGAGGTGGGCGAGCAGCTCTGGCGGGGGCTGGACTAGCTGACCCGCGAGCCCCTCCGCGGCTTCTGCGATCAACTCACCCCTTAGATATCCCTGTTAGGCGACGCCCCGGGCCGGCCGTTCGGCTGATTTAGCGCGCTCAGCACCCAGGCCAGCCGCCCCAGGGCTGCC